CATAAATTTTGTACAAATTTTAACACACAAACCATCTGGCCTTCAGAATATATCGTCAATAATAACAAATTCTCTCAAACATGCACTCGACACTCGGTAGAAATTCAGCAATGGTAGTAGGAATTCTCAATTACTTTATTCTTGTACCAACAAGATACAAATACAAAAATATATCTGGCCCCTGGCTCCTCTGCTGGATGAGGTAACTTACATCTGCCTTTGGAAGTTCCTCATTATCTACTCTACAATATTGATGTAACACTGATCCTATCACACAGTTTCAGTTGTAACGCGATCTCTGGTCAAGGCATCCATGTGACACCACATCCTAACCCCACTGGGCTGACGTCATCCACAAGACCGGCTGTTGGCCCTGTATGGTCCAGTAGTACAGGTTAGATCTAATTCTCCAGTTTCAAATGTCGATTCAATTCCACTCACCAGCCATGTTGTGATTTTTTGATCCTGGTGAGTAGTTATCAAGTCATAGAATTCTGAAAGCTCTCCATTGGTTTACCTGCAAGCTTGTTGGTTGAGAATCGGGTTAACCACAAATAAATATGGCCAAGTCAATCCAGTTTTAGAGGGACAAAAGTTTTATATATATATATATAACATCAACAATACATATAATAATACAATTCTCATGGAAAAAGTTGAATGTCTCTTACATATGAATGATGATCAACAAAACAAAGGAAAATACTTTGTGTAATTTTGTTAAATGGGAGAGGTGGCTTCGTTTTAACCCTTTTTGCTCTGTTCTTAGTGCAACTAATACAACCGTCGATGTTCCTGTCGTCAGTAGTAGTAATAGTAGCAGTAATATTAGTGGTAGCAGGAGCAGCAGTATTTATGTTAACAGCACATGTTAGCACACGCTTTGTCCCAATACTTTTATTAGGAACAGGATTGACCCATTTCCCGACACACTTCTAAATTAAAACTTCACACTTGTTTCATCTTTCAGTACCCTGACCATATCGTCATTCTTCTACGTTTATCTATTAATAGCTCTGAGAAATTTTGGTAAACTTTACATAGATTCATGCTGTCTTGTTATTGATAAAATTAACCTTTAGATCAAGACATTCTAAATTCTATTTTCTATTAATAATCTGAGATGTTTTGTATGCTTAAAGAGAAAAAAAACATTCTATTTCATTTTCTAAATTAAATCTGTAACATTTACATTTTAAAGTCTTTACAGCATTTTTTGCATCTTAAAAACATATTCTCCTTTATTATAATTATTATTATTTTAAGGTGATATTGTGCCCTGCCACAGTGATTTCTCTTAAAATGGATAAAATTTGGCATCATAGTATTACCAAGTACCTCAAGAAAAAGGGTTTGACCACAAGGACATTCATGCTGATATAGTTGCTACATTAGGGGATGATGCTCCAGCTTTATTAACAGTGCAAAAGTGGACAGCTGAATTTATGAGGAAAAGGGAGAGTTTTGAAGTTGACCCAAGGTCAGGACATCCTTCAACTGCCACCACCAAGGAAAACATTGATCATGTTCACCACATGATGATGAAAGACAGGCAATTGACTATAAATAAAATAGACAATGTCATTAGTATATCCCATGAGAGCGTTTAGAATATTCTGCTCAATGAATTTTGCATGATGAAGGTTTCTGCTCAGTGGGTGCCATGTCGTTTGATACCTGATCAAAATCACACCATTTCGATCTCATCACAGGAAAATGTGACATTGCTTGAGGCAGATCCAGCCAGTTTCCTTGAATGTTTCCTAACTCAGGATAAGTGTTTGGTTCATCACTGAGCCAGAGACAAAGATATGATCCATGCAGTAGAAACACCTCTCATCAACTGCTCCAAAGATGGCCAAGGTTGTTTCATCTGCAAGGAAGATGATGGCCTCAGTTTTTTTAAAATGCAAATGAGCCACACCCTCAATGGAGAAGACTATGCCAACTTGCTGAGGCAGTTACAAAAGGCTATCAAGCTGTTTGCACCCAGGAAAACTGACAAAAGGGATCTTGTTTCATCAGGACAATGTTCCAGTACACAAGTCTGGCATCACTCCTTTGTAGTTAACTTATGAACATTTCAGTGCACTTTTGTATGGCGACATTTTGTAAAGTGTTCTCTTGATTAGTGATCTTTGGATAAATGCAACTGATTAAAAGAATGATTTCAAAACCTATTGGCTTACGCCATTAGTGTGTAGTTTTCCTACTGAATAGTCTAACTATTTGCATATAAATGCAAGTTAGAAGGGTCAAGAAATGCCCATGTAAATAGGATTAATATGGATATTAAAATATTACTTATTTCATTTCTATAAATTAAATATTAATACATAAAAATTCATAAATATCCCACTTTAAATTCAGCTTTGTAGTACACTCTGTTCAAGAGGGCATACATATTGTGTACTTTGAGTTTTTTTCATCAAAAACTTTTCTCTAGATTTATGTCACTGTTTTTCAGTTGACATTTAGTATAAATTATAGCTTTACTTATACTTTTTCCTCTAATAATTATTATTTGAAAATATGATAATAGAGGTGTAAAATAACAAAAATATTAAAATGTTTTAGACTAGAAACAACTATTTTGTAATAGTTGTTTCTAGTCTAAAACATTTTAAGCCATAAAAAGTAAAATATTTACAATTTTTTCAGAACTTAAAGTGTGAAGTTTTGTACGAGACGAGGGTGACATTATTTTGTTTGTTTAATGATTTTAAAAATGAGGTGGAAAGATTGGATTTTAATTACACTGTTGTATTAATTATTATATTCCATAGTAGTATTTTAAAAGTTAACTTAGTCGGGTTTTGAACTTTCACTCTTGGTCCCCTCTCACTAAGATTTTTATGAAGTCTAGTCTTAGTGTAACAAAAATTACATTTTAGTTTTAAAGTACATCTATTTTAATTTTAATTTATTATAGCAGTAAAATTAAAAATAAATCTTGTAAAAATGTCTTTATGTTTCTGTTTATTCACTTCCTCTCAATCAATTTTATTTTTGTTTGTAAAAAAAATCTTTACTCATGTTGTGTTTAGTTTAAGTTAAGTACAGTTAGGTACCTCCATGAGATCACTAAAAAAGAGCATAGCATGACAAAAAAGATGCCAAACTTGACGAAAACAAAACTTTATCATCTCAATGTTTATGTCATTATTAAGAGGAAAGATCAAAGTATTAAGATTAATATAAAAATAAGATCATATAAATTTCATAAAATGAGACTGATACTTGTAGGTACCCTTCTCAGTTGAAACTGAAAAACCAAATTAACTTCTCCACACGTGTTTTGCAAAAATAAAGGCCTTAACAGTGGAGAACAATGCTTAACTCAAATAACGCAACTTAATTGTATTCTGGTTGGTCTTCCGTACTTTATAATTACAGCCCTATTATAAACACAAAATTACATTTCTTAATTACTGTGGGTCTTCTGATTAGCCAAAACAATACAATTTACAACATGCCAAAAAAGATCTATCTCAAAAGGACATTCAGGAAACTGAATGCAGCTTTTAACTAATTTTATAATATTTTAACAACTTAAATGTAAAAATCTATTATAATTAAAGAAATAACAAATAATTGTATTAAAAATTCATTTTTCATTGAAAAAATTTTTGCTTTCAGAAAATATTGTCCATATTCATAAAAGCAAATAAAAGCATTTGAAATTAAATAATATCTTTGTTTTATTAAGTTTTGTATGTTACAATTCAGAGCTGATTTTTCAGATGGTGGGGGGTCCAATTTTAAAAAAATACATGATTTGCTTTCCTCAAAGACTTGTGCTTTTAATTAATATAATCACTAAACTGAATGCGACTGAATTTCTAGAGGTTTCATAAAATTAGTTATGGGGTGGAGGTAATATAAAAAAATATTTTTTCCATGATTTTAAAAAAAGAAAACATATTTATAATAATTTCCATCATTTGTAAATAGTTTCTGAAAGTTTCATTAACATCCGACAATTATTTTTATTTTTGCCAGATTTTCCAAATTAATGTCTGTCATACAAAAAAAAAAGTGCTAAAAATTTATGTTATTTTACTATTATTTCTCATGAAGGTGCCTAAATACAGTACATACAATTTTAGCTTTTTTGGTGTCTTAAATTTTGCAATAATTGAGTTGAGTTTCTTCATCTTTTTTAAACGTATTATTTGGGCAATAGAGTAAGCTTTTCTATAAAATATTTTTTTTACAGAAACGTTTATTTTTTCATTAAACAAAAGAACATTTTATTTTTACCGTACGGAATTTCTTTTTTTTCTTTTTCATTAAACTAAAAACAAGTTGAGTGAAAACGAGCTGATAGCTAAAAAAAAAAAAAAAAAAAAGTAAACAAGCTATTTCCAAAAGTAAAATTTATACCATAAAAATATTCATATTGTATTTTAGATAGAAGTTAAAAAAGAAGCAAATGTTAGGACGAAAAACCATTTTAAAATGAAATGAAGTGTTTACCGGTTAAATGAATCATTATTTTTGTTTGACTATGCACTTTCCATGCAATGCCTTGTAGAAAGTTGTGCACTTGAATCAAAGTTCAATCAGTAGGATAACAGAAACGTTTTAACTTTTTGATTTTCTTAAATTTCTCATATTTTAAAAAATAAATTTATGACTAGAGACATCGCTCGAACTTTAAAAAGCAATATTGTAAATTAAAATGTGAAAAAGAAATACGTTGTTTCGTATTTTCTTTAACTTTCTACTTTATGCCCGATCGAAGGTTAAACCATATCACATGTAATGTCGAAACGGTGTATTAAAGTATTTCATTTTTAGTATTCTTTTGAACACAGATCATTAAAAAAAAAAAACAACCGAAAGCATATCTGTATGTAATTTTTTTTTTTTTAAACAAAAAAAAAAAAACGCTTTGCTTCCCATACTACCACCCTCGTAAGGTGGCGGAAGTTGAGCAGACCACGCGTGAATTTCGCGCCAAAATTCTTCTCCATCCCAATCGACTGTTTTCCAAGATGGCAGGCAATGGTGAACGAAATAGATCCTTAAAGGAAGCCTTATTTGAGAGCTTAACAGCAATTCTTTCTCCTCAACATGATGTTAGGGTGAATGGAGAGGAACAGATCAAAGCTCTTGAGGTAACAGAAGGTACAGAAAGTTTTGTAATTTTTCAAAATCTTTCATAGAATCAGCTGTCCACACTAATTTTTATCAAGAAACTTGGTCCTGGCACGATTTTTTCTTTCTACTTTTGTAGGTGTATAACTGCATTTATGGCTAGTACAGTGTTACTTTCATGTTTTATATAAGAAAATTTATAGTTACAAATAATGCATTAGGACTCTTACGTTCAGGTACTGAATTTATCTTTTAATTATCTGAAACAAAAGTAAATATTGAGTTTTTCAAAAACCGAACTATACTGTTAACTTAAGTGTTTACTAGTGTAATAATTCAAATTGTAATTAATTGCAGATGAAATTAAACATCAAGTGAGGTATATTTGGAATCATTATTTTCATTAAGACTACCACATGCTACTCTGAAACTGCATGTTCACCTACAATTTCATCAAAAATTCAAGTTTTAACCAAATTATAATTAATGAAATGAATCGAAAATAAAAAATAAAAAAAAACTTTTAAAATTGTTTTGAAAAACGTTTGTCAAGTTTTACTGGTCTTGAAAATTATTACGCAGGTAAAAGTTGACTAGGAATTAAAATAGGGTAAATTTTGAGTATTGAAGACTGCTAAAATTTCTGTTTCCACCACAACTACTTTCAATATTTTACCCCGAAAATGTATTTTCTTTCTTCTAGGTACCGCCACAGACATTTGACTAAAAAGCAATCTTACCTCCCTTAGCTTTACTACTCGTTCCTACTTTTTTCACCGTTTCACCTAACATTACGTTCCATTTTTGTAACTGTTTTCCTAAAACCTGTTGGAATTTTAAAATTCTTTGTATTTCATTTTTGCTAGAGAGAGTTTGTATTTAATACTTCCGTTCTTTTTTCTTCGTTCCTTTTTTAGGTATCACTAGTGATTCGCTAAAAAATTAGCATACCATGATGAAAAAATTCCCCAAACTTAATAAAAAAAAACAAAGTTTTATCATCAAATTCTTTAAGTATGTTGGTTATTGGAAATATTAAATTTAATCTATTAGCTTGATTTTAAAGTTAAAATAAAGAAAGTTAATTAAAAAGTTAATTTGAAACTTAAGGTATCGTGTTTCTGCGGAGGTACCTAAATTAAAGAGTTAATCTTTTCGTTAGAATTTCTCATATTTCATCTTCTGTACGGCTTTGAACAGAATCCAGGGAATTAAATTATGAAATACTTTTTTCACATTTAGAGAATTTTAAAATGATTATTAGTTTAAAAAGTGAATTTCATAAGCAAAGTTTGTCTATATTTCTGAGATGAGGTATTATGTTCATTATTTACATTATTCGGACTATTGTCCCGTTAAGGCAGTGGAGAACTTTCAGAGGGAAATTAGCAGGAGATAACTGATGACATCCATCAAACATGGCACGTGGAACTAGAACACTCTACCCCAGTGAGCGAAATAAAGGGTTCAGTTCGAAATTCCAACCACCTGAAGAAGGCCGGAGCGTACAATGGCGACAAAGATGAGGACAATAGTCCAAAAATAATAAGCAAAGTTGTTGAGATTTGCTGTCTAGCTACTTCTATCCAAAATATGACAACAGAATTATTAATATTTGAACATTTATTGCTGAAATAACCTACATAATTTCTATCAGCGTTATAAAAGAAATGTGATGCAAATTCTAGATTAGTGTCTGTATTTTTTTTCCTTTTTAATGAAGTGATTTTTTTTTTCTCTTTATTTTAATGCACACAATACTTGTTGGCAACAAGTTGTGTTTGTGTTGACAACAAAAAACACCCGAACTGTAGCAGAGAATTTATTTTAAATCATCGAAATCTTAGGTCAAACAGAACCCTCAGATACAGGAACTCTGCTCTGAATCATAATATAAAATTTTTTACAAGAATTTTTTTTTATTAGAAAAATTTATAGACTTTTAAATCTTCAAATTCTGCATAAATTTGTAGTGGCCAAGTGATATTGTTACTAAATTAAAAGTAAAACTATACTAACTGAAAATGGAAAATCTCACTACAGTTTAACAATCCAGTAATTTTAAAAAGAATTTTTTTAAAATTGTGCGTGTGTATGTATGTTGATTTCTGTAAATATGGACGTCCATACATGATATTATCATAAAAATATATAAATTAAAAATTTGTAGTAAATTTTTAACACTTTCTCAACAAGCATCTTCGTAAGTAAGGCTATAAAGCTGAAGTACCTCCAAATTCACTAAAATATTAGATTGCTTGGAATATTTTCTTAAATTTTTAAAAGTATTCAGTCCTTTAAAAAAAATAAATGTAGAAAAAGCATTCACATTTTATTCCAGAAATTCTTTTCAGTAATATCCCTCTTAAATTTCTCTAATATGAGGCTGTCAATAAATCACTAAACATATCAGAACATGTTGAAAATGCTTTCCTATGTAATTTTAAATTAAAAGCAATATTTCTTTCAAGCCAGATTAATTAAACTTTAAATTAGCTAATCTTCCTCTAATAAAGTTTCAGAAAAGTATTTTTTATTTTTGAAAGATTTTTTAAAAGAGAATTACTTGATATATCTGCCAATATGGATGAATTTATGGATTTTACTGATAAGGAGAGAAAAAATTAAATTCGTTTTGACATATACCAAAGTATTTTATTTATTGGGAATATTAAATTAATCTATTAGCTTAGAATTTGAACTAAAATTAATGCTTCAAAAGGGGATAGGGGTACCTAAATGGCAACAACTAAATATATTACATGTAGCTAGAAGAGAAAAAAATAACATAATCAAGATGTTGATGGTCCACACTACTTCAAATGCGCCTTCAATACTGGAAAGAGTGATAAGAGAAACCTATTTTCCTGAAAGATTTTAACTGAAGTAACACTGGCTACTTGGTCAATGAATGCTTAATGTTTCCTTATAAGGAAACAATATTACCATTATTTTCACTTGGCACTTCTCAAACCACCATTATGAATATGAAATAAAAATAACCAATTTAAAAACCCAAAATTTGTATTAGAGATAGGTTTGAAAGTAAATTAGTAAAATTAAGAATTAATTAACTGGATTTTGTAAAAGTAATGCTTACCTTTTCAGTGATTCTGATACATTTTTAATGTTGTGAGTACTTGGACCCACAGGTGGTGATTTGATTGTGTCCCTGGGAAATTCAATGGTAATAATAACCAAGGCAATCCATTATGGATCACCTTGGTCCCAACTACTAAAGTTTCTTAGTAAATGTTTGTTAAACTGCAGGGCTGACTGTTGTTGTTTTTTTTTTTTTTTTTACCATCATCCGAAAAAAAGCTAATAAACATGCCAAATCACTGAAAGTGACAGAATAATTTTTTATTAATAAATTGCACATAATCACAGTTCAATTAAGAAACTATATTTTGGGGAGAATCATGACAGGGTAAAGTTTTTTGTTCTTTTTTTTTTTTTCTTTTTTTTTTTTCCTTTTTCTTCTCAATTATTACATTTAAAACAAAAACATTATTTGAAGCAATTGGCAGCAAACTTCGATAAGTTCAGGCGTGTCAATGAAATTAAAAAGAACAAAAAACAAGAAATTTTCTTGTAAGACAACATTCATGTCGATTTCATACCACCCACACATCCCACTGTCCAATGAAACAAAAGTGTAAGTAAAAGGGAAAACTAGTAAAAAGTATTTAAAAATATATCAAATGATTGATGTCATGTTTATTATTTGAAATTACAAAAAATTATTGACCTCTCTACAGTTCATACCAACCCATACAGTAAAATTTCTTTTGTCTGAAGACAGTTTTTTAGCCCTGTTAAATGTTATTCGAACAGTGATGTGAATGTTAAATAAGGACTCTTGTTAAAACGTTTTGCACTCAGTTTTAAAAAGTATGTTAACAATAAAAATGCAAAAAAAAAAGAAAAATTAACATATCTATGTCTAGTTCATTTGGCAAATGATTCGCATTCAATTACAGAAAAATATATTAGTTAAATTTTAAATTAAATTGATATCTTTGTTTAATTAGTATCGGCCAACAACAAATTCCTTTTACTATGTCATAACTGTTATGGGTTGGTTTTGTGCAATGCATTCCTTTTCATGGGAAACTTTATTTGTGCCTCTGGGACATGTAGGTGGAAATTTACTGCATCCTTTAAGGTTTTTGTGTCCAGTGCATATCCTGTGTTTTTATCAGCACCTCTGCCTTTGCTTTAAAACTTAATGAAAATGTTTAATTATGCATAGTAGCCTGTGATCATAGGAGGAAAAAAATAGTTCTCTGTTGCCATCCATGACTCTTAAAAAGCATGCAGAAAATTAAAGAACACCAGTAGTGTAATGAAGAAATTAGTATTTATGTTTAAAATAATTTAATCTTTAACCTTTTTATAACCAATTATGTAAATAAATTTTTTATTCTCTATGCAATTTATATATATATATATATATATATATATATATATATATTATTTTTTTGTGGTACAGAATTTAATAATAGATAGGAAAAGACAATATTTATAAGACATTTTTTTTTTTTTTTTAAAGCTAAAATAAAAACAACCTATTTTCGCCCCAGGACTTATCAAGTTTATTTATTCTGGGAATTTAAAAAAAAGCATGTAAATTAATTTTAAATTAACTAATGTAATGGAGTGTATAAAAATGTGGGAAATTGAATTTCAAGGAACTAGAGTCCAACAATATTCAGACCCAGCAAGCATTCCCTCTGTTTACAAAGGGAAGGCTCACGGGATCTGATATACAAGGACTCTAGAACCTTTGAGGTGAAATCGGCATTGTGGGACCTAGATAAAACTATAAATCGGTCACCACTAAAATATTTTCCACACATTTCCTACTATTTATTAAATGTTCAGCAATAGCAGAACCAGAACTGTTGGTCAGTTGGCTATTCCTGGAGGGGTCATTCCATGTCAAAACACCAGCAAAAAGTTGAAATCTGCACCTACCAACACTGAATCAAATAATTTGAAATTTGGCACAAATGTTCCCCTTCATG